TTGATCGTTTTGCCTCTGACATGTTTTAAGTCAAATAGTCCTTCCTCCTCTCTTTCCAAATACCATTGACTTGTTGAAGAAAGAGGCAGTTGCCCTATAGAATGTCTCACCTTTTGGATTTTTCTGATTTGCTTCTTTGTGTTTGCATTTACCTTGTTCCTCTAAGCCCCCATATTTTCTGCAAACTGGATATTAGGTATAAAGACTTGCCTGGATTCAGGTTCAATATTTCTGGAAAGAATATTTATTAGGTGATGCAGTGTTCTTCCTATTGCATCACATCAGGGGCACACAATGTCTGGTTGTCTGATTCAGATGAGGAGGGAGCCTTTCAGAGAAGCATCAGCTAAGAAAGCTTGATGTGGGCAGCTTGGACTGGCTCAGTCCTTCAGCAGGATTAATCAAAGAGTTCTGGCGACAAAAAGACTACATAGGCAGTGGTGTAGGGTGGCAAAACGGGAGCCTCCCTTCAATCCTGTTGTGTGTACCCTGCAGGAATGAGAAATGAGACTAACCAGGCAAAATTTCCCAGGATTGGGGTGGGACCATTCTAAGACCTGTTTGCCCTGTCCTCCAGAGTGGGAGGACACTTCCTTTTCAGGTAGTGGGTCTGGTGGTGATATATGGCTGAGAGAAAACTCTCGACTCTATTTGCTCAGTTTTTCCTGTTCTCTAGCTTCCAGTTCCTGCCTGAACATACTTTTTTTTTTTTTTTTTTTGGAGACAGTCTTACTCTGTAGCTCTGGGTAGAGTGCAGTAGTGTCATCATAGTTCACCGCAACGCTCACAACCTGCATGGGCTCAGCAATCCGTCTGGACTACAAGTAGCCTAGCGGCGGACTACAAGTGTATGCCCACGTGGACACAACCTGCCTACATTTTCGTATTTTTAGGTAAGAGACGCGCGCGGGCTCCTTTCGTTCACGGGCTGGGCTGATCCGGTCGCGAACTTTCTAGGCTCGAGACGTGCCTCCTGCCTGGCCGTCGACGGGCTGTTTTTCCACGGCGCGACGGGTTGGCGCCTCAGGGATGTACAGGGCTGTTGCAGCCACCATGCCTGGCCTTAACAAACTTTTTTTTGTTTGTTTGTGTTGAGACAGAGTCTCACTTTGTTACCCAGGTAGAGTGATGCCATGAATGCAGCTAAGCTCATCCAGACCTCGAACTCCGGGGCTCAACGCAATCCTCCTGCCTCAGCCTCTCCAAGTAGCCTGGACCTGACAGGCATGCTGCCATAATGCCCAGCTAATTTTTTTTTCCTGTACTATATCATATATGTACGTTGCCAACTTAATTTCTTTCTATTTATATGAGACAGGGTCTCGTTCTTGCTCAGGCTGATTTCGGAACTCCTGACCTGAGCAATCTGCCTGCCTCAGCCTCCCAGAGTGCTAGGATTACAGGCGTGAGCCAGCGCGCCCGGCCTTAAAATACTTTTTGATCTTAAACTTTGGAATGTCAGTGCTGGAAGGAACTTTGAGGATCATCTAGAGAAGCCCCCTCACTGAAGAACTCTCCTTCTTCTTCATCCTTCCTTAGAAAAAGCTGCATGTAAGATGGTAAAACTAGTATAGTACAGTGTAGTTCTCCAAACTTCAATCATTCACATTCCACCCTCATAATTTTTACCATAATCAGGTTCCACATGCTCCATAATACACTATTATTTTTCTTCATTCTAACAATAATCTGTTAGATAATAGGTTTGACAAGTATTTTAATTTATTTCTAAAAGTCATTAGTGCTGGGCGTGTTGTGGCTCACACCAATTATCATAGCACTCTAGGAGGTTGAGGCTGAGGGGGGAGGATCGCTCAAGGTCAGGAGTTCGAGACCAGCCTGAGCAAGAACTAGGACCCTGTCTCTACTAAAATAGAAAGAAATTAATTGGCCGACTAAATATATAGAAAAAAAATGAGCTGGCTGTGGCGCATCTTGTAGTCCAGTACTGGGAGCTGAGGCAGTAGGAGTCTGGCTCCAGGAGGAGTTGAGGTTGCTGTGAGCTAGTGAACGCCACGGCACTTTACCCAGGCACAAGTGAGATTCTGCCCTCAAATAAATAAATTAAATAAATATAAGTCATAAGCCGGCGTGGGGCTCACACCTGTAATCTACACTCAGGAGGCTGAGGTGGGCAGATTGCTCGAGGTCAGGAGTTCGAAACCAGCCTGAGCAAGACAGAGACCACTGTCTCTACTATAAATAGAAGAATTAATTGGCCAACTAATATGTATATATATATTAGCCGGGATGGTGGCGCATGCCTGTAGTCCAGCTACTCGGGGGCTGAGGCAGGAGGATTGCTGAGGCCAGGAGTTTGAGGTTGCTGTGAGCTAGGCTGACGCCATGGCACTCACTTCTAGCCTGGGCAACAAGCAGACTCTGTCTCAAAAAAAAAAAAATAAATAATAAATAAAAAAAAAAAAAAAAAATAAGTCATTAAGAGAACACA